GTGTGATTCAGCATCCATCCACATTGGCCTGGCATTGGAAAACATTTTTTAGTGCCAAAAGATTCCTTTTCAAGATCTGTCCGGGTCTGCCTTTGAAACCTGCCTTTTGAACTGATTGCATCAGGGTCACGCAAGCAACTTGAAGGAGCGGAACCGTGCCCTCCAAGATTCCAAGATCCATGTCACTCGGAATTCCTGGTGCATTGGTCTTCACTAAGTCTCTTTCGCAGATCTGCGCGGCCTCCGCGCGCGCGTCCGCGCGGCCTCCCGCGGGACTGGAGGACCGGGCCATGTCAGGGACTCGTCCAATCAACTCACCCCAGACCGCTGGCAGCAGCATAGGCCCGTAGACGAAGATTGGCCCCCAGTCGGCCTTGGAAGGGCTTGCAGAGAGGGGTTAGCGCCTGGAAGGAGCCTGGCAGGGTCTTGATTGTTTGGCACTTCTGGTTTGGCCTTGGAAACCCATTCTATGTCAGGTCGATGTCGTGCGGTCCTCTTTTTCTTTTCAAAAGCCACTATAAAACCTTTTTGCCTTTTATTCCAACACCCGGTTCTCTTCTCAGACCCAGCCTTGATGCTCTTCATCGCCTCTGGGTGCAAAAGGATGCAAAAGAGAAAGAGTTTGTGGATGCTGATTATCTCTGGACAGTAGGGTTAGCGAGATCTAGAAAGTCTTTCTCAAACACCGCCACTTGAATGACAAAGATTCGTTGACTTCTATGGCTTTTGGTCAAAACCGCAAAAATGAACAGAATAGACCACTGAGAGGTCAACGACCTATCAGACCTATCAGGGTTTGGGCTTCAGGTTTTTGATCCACAGCCACATATGGCTGGCCTCTTTAAGTCCTAACCTGCTGCTGGTGTGTGTGTGTGTGTGTGCGTGAAAGCCTGTGTCAGGAAACCTCTTCCACTTCCATCGGGCATTGCGGTCTTGTTTTATGCGATGATTCATGTTGACTGTGGTGAACAAAGCCCCCTGCCAGAATGGTCTCACAAGATTGAAAGATTGATTGAAAAAAGAAACTTGGCCCCAAGAAACCAGCTAGGGATACTTAGGGCATCAACTGTGCGAGTACACAACTGATTACAACTGCAAGTATGCCCAAACATGGACCTGTTTGTCGCTCGAAGTCACGCCTGTGGAAGCCCTTCTCGGTTCAATCTCGAACTCTGAGAAAAAGAGTTACAAAAGAAATCTGGCAAACCACGGTAACCATGTCAGTGATATGATATGATATGTGCATGTGTCCCACTCTAGAGGACAGGGTTCTGCAATGTTCCCGGATTTCCAGGTGCATCGCCCCAAAAGAAACCAAATAGACCAAGTATCCCTTTCAGCGCCTCCCATGTCACAGGGCCCAGGGCCCATCCCAAGAAGCGAAAACCATGCGAAACCGAACCACATCTTAGGTCATCTCTGGTTCATTGGCTCTTCGCCCCATCTTAGTCACCTGCCACCCACTTCTCCAGCAGCACCCCGGCCCTCCGGTCCACGTCCCCCCTGGTGACCTCCTCGGCGGCCAAGGCGATCTTCGGCCCGAGCTCCGGATCGTCCAGCTCGGCGCCCCAGACCTCGAGCAGCGGTGTGGGGGCCGACCTTCGAGGGTGTCCGAGGTCGGAGATCGGACTAACAGAGGTCCAGCGACCTTATAGGACACTACCAGGGTACCGAACTGGGATAGCCTAGTGAAGGGTTCTTCAACCTCTGTTGGATACGCTTTTCCTGGGATTCCACTATATTCAACATGCATTGAATTGCTCAAATCAGGTCCACTCAATCCCTCACTCATTAGAGCCATCCGACTTCACAGGAAGGGCCTCGTTCGAGGGTTGGGAAGGGCCTGGCCTGAACAGCTTGAACAATTGGTGGCCTGTGAAGTCGGATGCTGGTAGAGAACGTCTAATGCATCGATCGTCATCGACCGTCGGAAAGACAGCACTCTTCCCATCACCGGCGGTTCTTCGGTGAAGATGTTTCACCTTAGTGATCAACATCATTCAAAATACCTCAAAATACCCTTACCACCCAAACAAAGTGCGATCCGGACGGTACATGGAAGTCCTATATGGACCACACCCAAGAACGCTTCAGACGATCTCTTTCTGCAGAATTTGCGCACCAATCTCGACTGTTGGCGTTTCTTGCCGATGTTGACCGTTCCAACTCCGAGTTTCTTGGGGTGGTGGTACAGTCCCACCTTGAACAGCGAGCCGCCGCGAGCCCCGCCACTTCCAACCAGCCCATCCCCATCCAACGGCTTCTTCACCAGGCCACCGTGGGCTTCGGCCGCTCGGCCACCTCGCCCATGTGGTGGATCAAGCCGGCGAGCACCGCGCCGAAGGGATCCACCTGCACCGAGACCGGGCACGAGCTCGTCCGAGCTCGTCCGAGGGCGGTGTAGGAAGGCCGTGCATGAAGGGCCTTCAACGAGAGGAGAGGACTGCGCCACGGGCCGTGGTGCCAACAGGGTGGAGCAGCGAGGTCGCAAAGGTTGGAGCACCGAAAAATTCGCCTGTGAGCCCTGAGAGACAACGAGAACGACTTAAAGAACAAGATGAAGCGATGAGTGCTTTCCTTAAAAAACCATGTGGAGGTCTTGACGTGGAAAGCAACAGCCCAAAGTCATTGGACTACTTCGCCCCTCTTCGCTGCCCGAAATTCTGCCACCCCAAAACCTTCGCCTTCTCCGCTTTCACGGCACTCGCGCCAGCGCTGCCGGCGTCACCGGCCACACCCATGCCATCCAGCCCCGCATGGATGGCGAGGCCCGCGCCCGCCAAGGCCAAGGGGTCCATGGCCATGTTGGCTGAAGCCAGCGAAGGCGTATTTTCTGTGTACCAATGAAGCTGATTTGTGGGCTTTCGTGGTAGGAATAGTGGTAAAAAGACTGAGACGGACAACTCCGGATTGAGGATCCGCCTTTTGCCAGTGCTCTTGTTTCTCTATTTGGGAGTGTAGCAGAGAAAACCTTATCCACTGTGAAAACAAGGAGGCCCACTTGCTGACCTGTTCTTGACGTCAAGTTTCCTCAGAATGGCCGATGAGAACGTGCAAGGGGGCCCCCGCGAGCTGTTTCTGGCATCACCGCCACAGCCACAGAAGCAACCAACTTTGGCTAAACACCTATCTCCCATGATCATGTATATAGCATTACAATGTCAGCAGCGTAGTCCATCTGAACATTCTGAACCCGTGCCTAGTTCCGCTTCTGAGCATCTGAATCCTACCACTTCACTGGTGCAAGCAATGACCATCCCAGTCTGCACATCTTCAGCACAGCATCACATCCCCAGCGGTCTGGTCTCAATCTTCTGGGTTTGGGTCACCAATCAATCTCTTTTGCTGAGCCGGATCGGTCCGCCAGATCGCCACGCGACCGGACTGTGGGACTTGCAATGCCATGTGTGAAAGCCTGGTCGCATGACCCATGGTCGCCAGGTTCGTGGGTCCTTCGTAGAAACCTGGGAAAAATCATCATGTACCTTGATAAACCTAGACCCTGAGTGACCTCTATTTTAGACCACCACCCAAAATATGATCTATCCCTATCAAATTGGATGGCAAAGGTTTCTAGGTTTGTTTTTGAAACATGTAAAAATACCCTGGAAGGAATCGATTTCGAGCAACCCCTCAACTCCAGCATGATGGGACCTGCTTCTGTAAAGAAAGGGTACACTCCCTGGAATGATCATGGAAGTGGGTGGAAAATGGACCCCTGGATGACCATGTTCCTCTACAAACAGGTGGTTTTCCACCTCAATGAACATTTCAAGGAGTGTAAAGCATTGCAATGGGTCATGTCCACATACCGCAGGGTAACTCTTCAATCAACCACAGTACAGCCAGTGGAGTCTTCTTTCTATGTGCAAACATCCATCGCAAGTGCTGGCTCCAGCCAGGAAGATTGCCTCAAGCCTTCCATACCGCAGCAGTGGGAACGCGTGCTCAAGATCGGTTGGCGGATGCAGATGTACTAGCTATAGCCCCCATGGTATCTACAAGATCAATGATCGACGTGTCGACTGGTCGACGGTACCATGACGACGTGTCCCCCCTCAGTCTCGACCTGGTCGAAACCCGGTGTTGGGTCTCATGGCGAGCTGAAGGGAAAAGGGGGGGGACCGAACCAGGAGGTAAGACATGGGTGTATTAGAATATAGGAAGACCGACACCTGGCATAAGGAAAATGGACCAAAACCCGGTGGGGGGTCTCCCTATTTAAAAAATACACTCATGATCACTGATGTTTGAATGCACGGGTCAGAAAGACTTCTATCATATCACTCGATTCCACAGGTCTCCGACATGGATTTTCATGGCCCTTTCGGTGGCAGGGTGCCCGTAACACTTGTGGATCTATGCTGTCTGCTCCTTCTTCCACCTGGGACTGGCACATACTGACTATGACTATAACATACAAAAACATACAAGCAGTGTCCTGAGATCTACTCCTTGCGGTTGGATTCCTTGTTGCAGTAAAACATGAACGTCAGCTTCAATCGCAGTTAGCAACTTCCGCTTTTCCATGCCTTTCCTCGTCAATGCGGTTTCGCGAGCAGCGAGCAGCTGTGTTGCTCGGAACTGTGAATTCTGAGATGTTACATCAGCCCCTGGCCAGCCCTGCTGGATAGATGAACTGTGTCCCAAAACCGTGAGAACATCTTTCCTGCCAGCACCCTGTGACGAAACAAGTGGATGGATGGATCAAAACCAAAGCAAAACGCCATGGGACTGGGACCGCCCTGTCACTGGGTGCTGTGTGTATACTGCAGAATGAAGCGGGCGGATTCGAGGATGGATGGCCTGGTTCTCCCAACATGCGGATGTGTTCTTCGCCGTCTGAACCGGTCGTTGCTTCGGGGCAACGACCGGTTCGGCAAGACCCACCAGCTTTTGGAGATGGAAAGATCAATACACCTACCTCTTCCAGTGTTTGTTGCTGAAAGGCCTTTCAGAAGTGTCATGTTCTATACGTGTCGCTTGATGATTGTGGCTTGGGTTCCGACATAGCTGGAAGGGCATCCAATGTCCATGCATCACAGTTGCCAGCAGCTTCAGCTTGTGACGTCCTCAAACAACACGGCGTGAGTGATGCAGAAAATGGCGACAAAAAGCGCTCGAAACCGCAGAACAGCAAAATTGGGAGGCTTCAGCGACATAAATGTTAAAAAAAAAGGTCAGACACGTGCTTTCATTAAAGGCCGTAATTATATCTATAATTATATTACTGCAAAACTAGCTGATTCGCCGTTCATGTTCCTCCAAAAGACATGGGACTGTAGTCCTGACTGGTGAGTCAGTAATCAATGTAATTAGGTTTGGTGTTCATGTCCATCCCGATCTTGCACCCAAGAGTCCACAAGTGCATGGGAGGTTTGAAGCTGTATGCCATGAGTCACAAAGGGATGGTCCGTTTTTAGATCCATCATGGGCACCCCGACTTTCTCCAAGTTCGGCCCCCCCTGACAATGTGACTTTTGGTAGTTTTCGCCTCCTTGAAACGACTGGTGACCACCCTGTCGTGACGAGCGACTCGACATCGAATCAACGCGTCTCGGCCCTCTCCTCCGGCGCGGGAAGCTCCAGAATTCGAGGCCTACGGCAGGTGGACGGGTGAAATAACAAAGTCCAAGAGTCGAGGCTCTCGGACGGATCTACAAAAACACAAAGAAATGGAGCTGCAAGTGATGAATCGGATCTATGGTCATCCTGGACAAAAAAAACACAATAGAAAAACGGGTCGTGTTTTGGGGATTGGTTCATGTTCTATCTATACTCCAGGATAATTATCAGTCCATGAGACAAAATTACGTCCAAACAATTGGACTGGGTGCTGTTGTGTTGGATTTACTTGGTCCAAGTGTCCAATTCGTTCTGAAAATTGTGATGACCATTCCCATGCAATTCATAGATTTACCATGACTTAACCTAACAAAATACCAAAGGACCTGGGTCTTTTTAATGGGTCGTCCATCCTCCCGGACAAACGGTCAACCCATCTCTGGTCTCCGGGCTCGGGAAGGCAAGATCATGGGGAGTTTCGCCAACTAAGTGGATCAGAAGCCGAACAAAAGCCGATGAAACAACGACCCGATCATCCAGCGTCCCAAAAAAAACCTAAAATGGCAAGAAGTGACTGATTCCAAAAACATGTGGCGCTACATGGCGCTACAGTCTCCTAGTGAACTTGGCCTTTTCGAAAAACCATCGTCTGGCTGAGCCTTCAGTCAGGGCATCTGCTCTATGGTGTGAATCATCTTCTCACCATTCTTCTATTGTTTGGCCGGCACCACACCACTAACTTCACCACACCTCGCAGACCCAACGCAGGCGTTTTTTCCGAGGTGCGCGCGCGCGCGCGCGTTCGCGTCTTGACCGTTCGCACACCTCTGGGCGGCCACGGCCTGTAAGAAATCTCCAGCCTCAGTGGGTTGGACTAGGGACCTCGGTGGTGACTGACCTTTGGCATTTGGAGTCCCTGTTAGTGACCTTATCTTGGAGGCCAATCAGTGACCTCAAAGCGATCAAGTGACCTAGGTCATGACTGGTGACGGAACCAGGATGACCTTGCAAACATGGGATATCTAGTTAACCAGGGCCCCCGGCGTCTAATCATAGCTCGGGGTTGATGGGGCGTCAAAAAACACCTGCTTCTTCCAAGTGATTTTTTTGGAGTCCCTGTTACAGGACCCTTTTCAGGCCAACCAGTGACCTCAGCAACCAGGGGGATCCAGTCCGGTTGGTGAAGGAACCGAATGGGAACCGGACACCGTGTTCCGGCATACGAACCGAATCACCGTGGTCGTTGGGGAGTATGTCGGACTGGTTGAGTCGGAAGGTCGGACGGGTCTTCCGAGCGAAACGATGACATCTTCGGAAGTCCACGAAGCCAGGGGCCAGGGGTCACATGGAGTTGGGCGCTGATTGGGGGCAGTCGGGGTGCCCAGTATCCCACTCGCTTAGAGACCAAATGCCACTCCGACATGTGACCCCTGGACCATGGGTTGTTTTTCATCGATCGATTCTCAGACCTCTCCAAATGAAGAAAGCCCTGGAGGCAAGCCCAGAAAAAACTCCACGCGGACTCCACGCGGCTCCTTTTTTTCGACACGCCCAAGTCGAAAAGAAGCACAGAAACCCATTTCTGAAGCCGAAGTTGAACTCCTTCACACTCGAAAACGTCTGTTTCGCTGCAGTCTCCATACTGTACTCTCCTTTCCCTGCAGGTGGCGGTCGCCTCGGTTTGTCTGGCCAAACGAGCCTCCACGAACAAGCTGTTTGTGGATCGAGGAGCAGGTCATTCCTCGAACCTAAGAACCTGCAGCTCCACTTCAAGAACCTGTAAGACTCTACTTCACTGCACTATACAGTGGTTTCAGAGTAGATGAGTAGATGGCACAATCCCCTACATGTCTTTTGGATGGGGGTCTCCCCAAAACCCACCGACCTTGTGCTCACTGGTGCGAACCGAACACGCCAACCACTGTATTACAAGGAACCGAACCTGATGTCCCAAAGCCAACGTTCACAAAGCCAAGAGGCTTGCAGCAATCCCACTTGGAGGCGATGAAGGAGGGACGGCACCTGCGCCACTCCGACGGGACTTCGCGAGTCTACCCCGCTGAAGGAGGAGGTGGGAAGGAGGCGGTGTAGATATTATGGTCTACCAAAGGATCATAGGGGTATAGATAGTATACTATATATACAGCATATAATATATAGGGCCAGGGGTACTTAATAATTATAATGAAAATGAATGTGGGACCGGTGGTACATAGTTCGTGGGAAGCTACTTCACACAGGCTCATGACCACCTACAGTGTGCTTTGCAACTCGTATCATCGCAAGTGTACGTAACTTGGCCTTGTCATCTGGCACCCACCAGCTGGATGCGCTCCCAATGGTTGTGGTTCCCACCCTCCCAAAGAGGGTTTCGCATGCGCAAAAGTGAGGGCTTAGCTTTGAGATGCCTCCCGTCCGTTTCGATTTTCCCTATGACAGAAGCCAATTAGACGTCAATTCGACCATCACCCCGCCCCGAACAAAGACTGTTGTCCACTCCAATTCCACTGGCGCCAGGACCTTCCAAGTGACCTCCTGAGATCTTCGGATGAGGTCACTTGGTCCTTGAAGAGGTCACTTAGACACTCCCAAAGAGGTCATGTTGAAGTTGCAGTGCGACCGTTTTCTCCTGTCTTTTTCTAAAGCCCACCCGCCCAACTCAATTAAGTAGGGGCCTACTAAATCAAGCAAGGGCTAAACAAACTACTGGGTAACCTGCTACTAGCAAATGGATGCAGGATAGCTCACGCATGCTCACACTCACACGATTCATTTGGTTCCTTTTTTGGCCAACGGTCCGCTACAGCCTCGCTGAAGGGCAACAAAGCTGAGCGTGATTCAGCCAACCTCGATCGATTCGGGTCACTTCCAAGCTGAGCTGAGCATGACTCCCTCGGGGATCCACCTTCTCAGAAGTTACGACCTGACCCTCCGCCAACATGAAAGAGTCGAACACACACATCACCGTACCTTTCGGCCGAGGGTGGCGGAGCCAGGATTGAACATTGAAGGACAAGAAGCTCGAAACGGTGTTGAACCTGTCTTTGGAATGCCTGAAAACTCCCATGGTCCCATGGTCCCATGGGACATCGACCGGACCCTCCGCCCGGGCGGTGTCAACGGTTCTCTGGGGCGAACCACGTGCAAACCGACGGACCGCGGACCTCCGCGGGAGCCGATCGATCGGCGAAGCAGCGCCTTACACCTGGCGCAAGATCTGACCACCTGACACCAACCAGAAGCCTCAAGTCCAAACGAATTGGGTTTGTTTCACCAAATTCAACCAATCATTGTTTTACTCAAAGACTTTTACATGGTCAACCACCAGGTCACCAGCTCAACCATGAAAATGCTCCATCCACCGTCTCTTTGTGGCCTGGCCCATTTCTCTCGATCAACGTGGCATGCCAGGTCCGTCCGTCCTCCAAGCTCCAGGATGCCTCCAAGGCACTGTTGGTCCACCTTCCGGATCCACAAGTGGCAAAGAGCCTCCTGGTTCAGTCGGTGGCTGCGTTCGGCCGGCTGCGGCTGCGGTCGTTCGGTCGTGCGGTCGTTCCGGTCGCGGGGCCTTGTGGGTGGTTGGGCCGGTGGTCTCTTGTCCGCTCTCAGGTGACTCCGTTGCGGACCTTCGGACCACACGGAACCTCAAAACCACTAATATATAGGTTGTATAAAATGGTCGAAACCACCTCTCAATTCTCAGGGTCCGTGTCAGTTTTGTTTGGGGCGGAAGGGCTCCCTAGGAAAGAAAGGGCCCCGTGGATGATGATGTTCCAAACATTACAAAACTGGTGCCATCCACTTGCATGGTTTGCATGGTTCCAGGGAGTGTCACCTTTTTCCACCTAAACTGGGGGCAACCTTTTCCGGTCAGTGGTTCCAAGAATCAACTGGTGGACATTGGTGAACTGTGAACTGACCCAGAGGAGGGCTCCTTGCTTGCTTTGTGTATGTCTTATTTAACATATATAGATATATATATATAGATATATATATATAGATAGATAGATAGATAGAGATAGATAGATAGATAGATAGATAGATTAAATAGATTAGATAGATAAGAAAGATAGATAGATAGGTAGATAGATAGATAGATAGATTGATTAGATAGATAGATTAGATAGATAGATAGATAAGAAAGAAAGATAGATAGATAGATAGATTGATTAGATAGATAGATAGATAAGAAAGATAGATAGATAGATAGATAGATTGATTAGATAGATAGATAGATTAGATTAGATTAGATTAGATTAGATTCGATTCGATTAGATTTAGATTAGATTAGATTAGATTAGATTGATAGATAGATAGATAGATAGATTATATAGATTATATAGATAGATTAGATAGATAGATAAGATAGATAGATAAGATAGATAGATAAGATAGATAAGATAGATAGATAAGAAAGATAGATAGGATAGATAGGTAGATAGATAGATAGATTAGATTAGATTAGATTAGATTGGATTAGATTGGATTAGATTAGATTAGATTAGATTAGATTAGATTAGATTAGATAGATAGATACCGTATATATATATGTTTGTATTTTATCTACATCTACTTGGTCCTGTTGCAGTGCTTCACATCTCTACTTTGACCTGCCAAAACCACTGCCATGCCCGAACCGCTGGGGGCCTCAAAGCGCCTTCGCCAAGCTTGCCCATGCTCCTGGTCGCCGATCAGTTCACGTTCGGTTCGAGAGCTTCGATGGCGCTGTCAGGCATCACGTTCGGTCGGTGGTTTATAGAGACCTCCAAAAGACATGGACTTACGGGTGCCAGTGTCCTTGCTCCGTTCGTAAGGCCAGGAACCCCTACAACTCGTAGCGTACAAGTAGCCTCCGTTCGTAGTCAGGCCATCTATACTCTGAAACCACTAGATTTGAGTTGGTTGCATCCCTGGTAGATGAATGTCCAAACTGATATGAAGTTGGGGTGTCCCCTGTGAAGTTTAGCTCGGGTGATACCTTAAGAGGTGTCCAACCAGCACCGGAAATGGGATCACCTTTGACTGGACCACCCTGTACACACCGCTTTGGATGGTCTACATTAGAATGGAGAGATAGGTAGACTCTTGAAGGTTGCACCGCCAGTGGGACTACTAGCCCCACTCTGGGCACCATGCTACTTCCACGACAAATGCAGCTTCTGGCAGCATTTTGGAGTCAGAGATGCCTATCTGGCATCTCTCCAACGTCGTTCTACAATGCGTTCACGCTCGGTCGTTCAGTTTGTGCTTTCTGCCAGCCTCATAGTCATCGCTCACACCGGGTAGCGCGCCTCACCAAAGGGCAGCAAATGGCAGCAACTCAAGCTGAACACAGGAGGTCACCCCCAAAAGCAAGGAGCTCTTCCCAAGTGAGTTGAGATGTTCAGGCTAGGTAGTCTAGTCACTAGTAACATCTAACAATCTAACGGTCGAGACTGGCAGATCTTGTCAATGATATCTATAGATAGATACAATGTGCCAGTCTCGATTGCACGCCCAGTAGTTCTTTAGCTGTCTATAAGATCTATTCTGCTGTGGTTGTCTGACCCATTTGGTGATGGTCATATGGTCATGGCCAAACAATTTCTTTCACTCAACGTATACCAGCCACAAGTTGCGGCCTTTTCTGAGTTGATCAGCAGGGCGTTCGTCATGTTTTGTGTGAAAACAACGACCACATGCGCCACCCTGCCTGGCGTGGCCGCCTCGAACTTCAGCCAACAAGGGCTGGCAGCTGTTAACGGACCCCCTGCGAGGGCGGTGGCGGTGTGGAAGACGCAGTACACACCTGCAAAATGTCACTGGTCACATCTGCTCTCTTCTTTCGGTCAAGAAGTTCTCTTTCGGTCAAGAAGCGGTCTGAAACATCATTTCAAGGTAGAAACATCCCAAACCTGGGTGTCCTGGCGCTGAACTACCCAGCTCACCATTCAGGGATCTCCCAATAGGGAGGAGGATGCAGGTGATTTGCGGTCTATTCCGTTTTTTATGCATGTGTCTGTTCCTTTTTTCCAGGGGTATGTGTCCTTGTTGAACCCACTTTTTCCTGTTTCCTCATCAACAAACTGTGTTTCCTTTATATCATGCGTCCCTTCAAAACGGACGACCACACGGACGACACCTGGGGGGCCTTCCTGCCACCACGCATCGCTCCTCCGAACCGAGCCCGCCTTGACACCGCTGAATCCCCAGGCGATGCCTGGCCGCACCGCGCGGCTGAAACCATCTCGTCATCCGTTGGGGGCGGTGGTTTTTTGGAATGAAACTCATTCGCCGTGCGCTACATGACGTGGTGCTTCATGGTCCACAACCTGGTCCTCTCATCCCCACTGCAGGGGGCAGGGGTACCTTTTCGCCTGTTCTCCGCCTGTTTTTGGAAGAAGGTGATCTCGATGAAGTAGACCGTTAGGGTAGAAATCTGGGAGACAAAAAAACAATTCCATGCTTTGCGGTCAGGTGGAAAATGAAAAATTGACTTCAGAGAGTAAAAGTCAGAGTTCTGATCCAAAAGAGAGCAGAGTCTTGGGGAGCAGATTCGGAGATGGAGCTGCTGGCTTGCACATGTCCGGAGGTCCTGAGTAAAAATGGGACCACCATACAGTGACAAACAAATTCCAGCATCTCAGCCCACCGTTGCCAGTTGGATGTGTAGTACATGGTGCACACTACCATTTTATCTACCCTGCAAGTATAGCAGTATTAAAAATATATCTGCATGCCTCACTCAAGTCAGTTTGCAAGCCTCGGACACGCTTTTCGCAAAATGTTTGAGTTGTTCCAGGCCAGAATCTTCAAAAGAAACAGAGTGGTCACACTTCTACAGCTCACTGGTATGATGGAGCTATATCTGGTGCGTCTTACAGCTACCCAGCGCCCCGTGGCCATCTTGCGCTTAACACTTTTCCACAGGATGTGTCTGGATCGCTAGAAGATAAACATAAACCCCAGTGTCAGATTGGTCTGCCGCTACAGCACCAAAACTGGTTTGATACAAGGGTGGAGAAGAAAAAATCATCGGAATTCACACAATTTCTGAAATATACATTATATAGTCCTTGTTGCTTAAGGTCCTTGTATCATATATTTCTGTTCGCTTTCTCTTGACTCTTCTCCTTAACCTCTGCAAGAACCCAGATTGCCCAGATGTCATCCCACTCCTTCTGCCGAGCCTCAAGAGTCAGTACCAGTCTGACGTCGATCTTCGACCTTCGACCAAACCTCTCCTTCTTCCAACCATCTGCTCCATCCGCTCCATCGCTTGCTCCACACCCAACGTCCTCCCGGTCGGCTCCGTCGTCTCCGGCTCGTCCTCCCCGCCTCCCGCGGAAGACCAGCACCCCGGCCGAGAGGCTGGTCACATCTGGAGCGGTCACGAGGCGAACGGGCTGGCGAACTGCGGGGGGGCGAACGGCTGGTGAAGCGCCGATTTTTCAGGCAGCTACTGTATGAGTCAGGTGGATCCCAGACGGATTGAAAGGTAATTGCAGTATATTGGCGTGGTTGAAAAGGGGTCAATGTGGGCGCTGTACATGGAGAGTGATGATTGTAGGTTCCGGGATTCAAAACAAACTCCGAGGGAAAATCCCTTGGCAAGGCCATTCTAAAAGCATCCACGGTCCACAGAAATGCTGAGAATCACCTGCAATCCGAAATCCCATATAATTCAAATCGCCCAAGCCCTGTGGTCAGGTTGAACAATGTTCGAGCATTCCAGTCCAGTCAACCGAGAGAAAAAAAGAATGCATCGAAAGGACTAGAATCGAGGCAAACAGCCAACCAAGCAAATGATGATGATGATGATGATGATGATGATAAGGGCCATGAGCGGCTCAATCCCCATCGCCCTCGGTGCCGCGGGGACAGTGCGGAACCGTGACTCGCTCCATGGGCAACCCAAAGGTGATCACCTTGTTGCTTGACTTCCTCGGCAACCGGGACTTTGCCCAACATCCTCAGGAACATCGAGATTCTGATCCCTACTTCAAGGTGGTCGGCCTCTACCTGTTCCGGTTCTACTCCCTGTCCTTTGTGACGGTGGCTGTCTCCCTCTTCTGGCTCTTTAGGCAGAAGGTCTACTACCACCTCCGCTCTACCTGCACCTGGCAACGGACCAGGCCACAGAGGAGACGACCAGTCTTCCTCGTGGACAACAAGAACTTCTCCTTCGGCACTGGGACTCGAACAGTGAAGAGTGGCAAGGGCTTTGCACCTCCTTGGAAGAGGCCATCACTGGACTCAGGGACGATCAACCAGACCTGGAGGCTCTCAACCAGATTCTCCTTGCCGGTTGTCAGAACTTCAAACCACCTGTGTCGGAGCCAGAACGACCCTCACCAACCTTCTGGACCTGGGCCAATGGACATCCAGGACTTGCCCTTCCGGAAGTGGCTCGGAGGACTATCTACTCAAGTCGTCTTCAACAGCTCTTTGGCAAATGGGTCAAAGTGGTTAGAATTCAATCCTGGAAAAGATCCACGAACCAAAAAGCCAGGGAAGCCAAGAAAGACAAGCTGGCCCAGACCATTGCACAGGCCAGGCGACACTGGAGCAACAATGACTCCCACAAATACTTCAAGGTGGTGAACTCTCTCACACCAAAAACACGGCCACCTCGGCCTCATCTCCGACGGCATGCTGGTCAGCTTATGTCACCGGAAGAGGAACTGAGTTGGATCCAAGAGTACATGGCAAACCTCTATGCAGGAGTTGATCTTCCAGCTCAACACTTTCATCTGGCTGCTCTCCCCTTTGAGGCACCGGACCTGGTTCAAGGACTACATGCGCTCTATGGACGCACCAGTGTTCCGCCTCATGTGGCTCCTAGCTTCGTATGGAAGGCGCTGGCCACCTCCATTGGGTCACTCGTCTTTGGATGGGTGAAACAGTGGATGTTATGGGGGCTCATTCCACAAGAATGGCGGAAAGGATGGGTTGTTCTTCTGCCCAAACCGAACAAACAACCGGTTGAACCGAAAGCGCTTCGTCCGATTGCTCTTCAGACTCCGCTCTCCAAGACGATCATGTCACTTTTTGTTCATGAGGCAAGGAAGTTTCACTGCCAACCCTGACCTGGTATCCACAGTTTGCATACCTTCCGGGACGAGGCACGTGGGAAGCAATCACACGGGTTCAAGCACACGTTCGGAAGGTCCAAGCTCTTCATCATCGATGGCGATATGACGCCAATCAGAGGGCAGATGAGAGGACAACACGTCCTCACGTGTTTGGAGGATGTCAGCTCTTTCTTGATCTCACCGGAGCCTTTGATGCCATGCCTCGTGAGCACCTTTACTCAGCTTTCTCACTCATTGGTCTTCCTCATGATCTCATCTCTCTCCTGATGACATGGCACACACAGACCTCATATGTGATTCAATGGAAAGGACTCTCTGCCGAACAATCCACCTTCAGAGGTGTGAGGCAAGGCTGCCGGGGCGCCCCCTTTTTTTGGGCAAGCTTCATTGCACTGGTGTTGAACTTGATAGCACACGAATCCTCAGAAGAATGGATGCGTGAATGCTGCACCTTCTATGCAGATGACGGTCATGCCTGCTTTGTTTTTCAGACCATGGCAGAACTTCATCAAGGCCTACAACACTTTGGCACCGTTATTTCTGTCCTTGAAAAGCTGGGCATGACCGTGAATATGAAGAAATCTGCCGTCATCTTAAGATGGGGAGGCAAACAACAGAAACAAGCCAGGCAGCAATTTGTGAAAAAGAAGCTCGACCACACAGTCCTTTGTATACCACAAGAAGCAGGGGGCTCACACGAAATACCGATCAAAGAGAAGCACGAATACTTGGGAGTTCAGATGGGAACAACAATTTTCAAAAGGACACCATGAAAGCTCGGCTTCACGCATGCAAAGTTCGTTTCAGACAAATGCAGAAGTGGTTCTCGACCAACGGCATGCACTCGGCTCAGAAGGTGGCTCTATGGCAAACATGCATCTTTCCAATAGGAGTGTATGGCTTGGATGCAACTGGAACAGATCACACCTCAATTCCTCTGTTCTCCAAGAACATGACGTCCATGCTTAGACAGGCCGCAGGCGACCACTCCTTCATGACACACACTTCTCACATGGACTTTTTGACAGAGCACCAACTCCGCCACCCGGTGCTTTCCCTGCGGGAGCGGATGGCCTCTCAATTGAAGCGGCATGAGGACAGACTCTCCTCACTTCAAGAGCATGACATACTCCACCTTCTTGACCTCAGTACACTCCAAAGCTCCATTCACCTTACAGACTCTTGGCTTCAGGACCTTGGAGATCTGGATATGCAACCCAAGCTCCCCTTGGCGGAGGCAGGACTTGACTGTCAGCAATGTGGGCTGACCTTTCAACATTTATATACACTGCGGCGACATGAGTTGCATGTTCATGGCATTCTACATGCCGAGGGTCCCACGCTGGACATAGCTAGAGATGCGGTTGATGGGAAACCTACCTGTCGGCATTGTGGCGAAACCTTCATTAGCTGGCAAAACCTCCGACACCATATTCACTCCTTCTCCTGTTCGGAATTTGACTCGACCAAGGCACCACCAGCAGTTCTTCAACAACACAGGCATAAACTCCTGGAGTACTACGACGAAGGTGACCTGGCCCCCCTGGCCAATGATCGAGGCCTTTGCTATTTCCTGACCCAACGGTGCATTCTTTGTGGCTTTTGGTCTTCGAGACTGCAGCAAATGTCTGCCCACATGGGTCGAGATCATGGAGATGTCTATGCGCTGATGGGGGAGGTTCTGCCCAATGTGATCAGGGTCCGAACCAACTCACCATGCGAACTTTGTGGACAGGACTTTCGATCGAAAACGCACACCTGTCCTGTGAAGAAACAACTGGGACTCGCTCTTGCTTACCGGAAACACCGTGAACAATTTCCGGCATGTCCACCACCGGTCCCACAACCTCCGCAGAGGATGGATGCTCAATTTGCTTGTGCTCAATGCCCCAGGAAATTTGTGACTGCCGCAGGACTTCATCAACATCAATCCATGGAGCATGCTCATTCTACCCTGACCAGGACTTTCCTTGCATCCAGGGATCAAGTTCCTGGGCTGACACAATGCGCACACTGTGAGGCCTCTTTTCTCTGTCTTGCAGCACTACGGCATCACATTGATGGAGGTCACTGTCCTGAACCACTTCCGGATGCTCCTTCTCTCCTCTGGCATCACCCAGTGGTCATCTCTGGGCTTCACGGGGGCACATTTGATCATCTACTTGCCTACAAGTCACTGATTCGGAGGTTGGGATACATTTGTGGCCTTTGTGGCCATCAATCATCCAGTTCCTCCTCTCTTCTGAAGCATCTCAGCTCGGCTCACTCTACCTCCTGGACTATGGCAACCATGTATGCTGAATGGCTTCAAACTGACAGTGCTCTGCGTAACCTTGGCTGCTCCTGTCTTAGACCTCCGGCGACTCCCCATGTTTGCACGGTCTTTACACAGCTGGCCCTCTTTGTTCACCATGACCTGCACAAACTGAAGGATGCCAGCGATGAGCTTATCTTGGCACATGCACTGAAGCTGGACCTACAAGTTCTCAGCCCCTCCATTGCCATGAACTTCCCACACTTGGACAGCCTCCTCGCCACGGGAGTTTTTGACGAAATTCTTGGAGATGGCACACTTTGCACCGCCCTTAGCACTTGGTGCTGCTTATGTGGACGGCAGGTTGACCCCAGAGACATGCTTCAACATCTTTGGAACAATCATGCAAAACATGGAAACCGTGGGGGGCTGTTTTACAAGTTTCTGTCTTTCTACCAAAAGAGGCAGCAACAGTGTTCAGTTTGCAACTGTCATCAAACCGCAGTACAGTGCCCAGTGCTCCTTCAGCTAGCCAGCCTCCTTGCCATTCTTCACCATGGACATGGAGGGCAACCAGATCTCAGAGATGTGGGGGGCCCTGAATCAGTGGGTGAAGATGGAGGTGGACGAGGACAAGCAGACAGCAAAGCGCCCGAGGTCTTCCATGTCGAATGGCGCGAAGGGCCAGGGAAAAGGAAAAGGAAGAAAAGGGCAGGGGAAGATCCAGAACATGCAGGACGAGTCCACACCAGATTCAAGAACACTCCTGAATGCACTGACCCGCCTCGTTCTTCGACACGAAGACACGCTTCAGTGCCTGGCCATGGAGACGGACTTCTTCGTTTTTTTGAGCGCGGGACCAGGCTCAGTTCTTCCCAGCATGATGAACCAGACGCAGACCTGGCAGCAGACTCCAACTGCGGAAAGGACGCATCCACTCAGGATCTTAGTCCTGAAGACGCTGCTGGAAGAACTGCTGAAGAGAATACAGAAACTTCAATCCACGGCCTCCTCCGATCCCTTGATCCAGACATTGCTGCGCCTGAACTTCCTGCAACCCGAGCCAGAGAAGGGAGACTCATTCATATTTCCTCGTATGAGGTGGAATTCCCAGAAGCAGCAGATGGAGGCTCAGGAGGACTCGCCCCTGACCATGCAGCAAGCCACACAGACAGTGACCAGGATGCTCACTCTGCTTCAGCAAGAAGCCCTGATCAAAAGATTCGGAGCCCTACGTCCCCAACAGCAGATCCAGAAGGCCATGACCACGGACACGGAGTCACCGTCCGCCATCATTCCCTGGCGGATCACACTGGCCCTGGTTCACACTCATGCCAACGAGATGAGGGGACTCTGGCACCAACTCAGTCATTCAGGACTCTGGCAACTAGTGCTTGGACGGATGCGCCCAGCCAGCTCTCATCGAACACCACTTGCACAACAAGTTGGCAAAATGCTGGAACAACTGTGATGGCCTCAACATCACCTCCACTGAGGACGCTTCAAAATCCTGCAGCCGCCTGCTACATGAACTCAGCGGCCACTGGTTTAGCCTGGAGTGCACTCAAGGCCAATGGTTTGAAGGCGGACCAATGGTCCAACTTCCCTGGGGCATTAGGGGACTTGGCAGATGTGTCCAAAGGGCAGTCCATGCTTTTATGGGCGGATGGGAACTGGCCCAATCCTTTTCGGCAGCATGATGTGGTTGACTTTGCTCATCATCTTCTTCAACAAACCAATCCTATTTTTCTCAGTTGTTGTTGGGAAAGCCGGCTGGAGGATGAAGGCCAATTGAAGGTGGTTGACCACAATGCCCAAGGGTGCCCACTACGACTCTACATCTGCAGCGAGCAAAAAAGCACCCTGCCAATTGACCTTCAAGGTCTTGTTTCCAACTGGAGCCTTGCATCATTCGGGTTACACGCCCTCACCGAACCAGCAGACGTCACATGCCTGCACATTGACCGCTTTGACTCCAAGGGACGGAAGAGTCACACTCGACTGACATGGGATTCTAAGGTGTGGCTGCCATACTTCCTGAACACAAAGTTGGAGGTCGACCACATACCGTTCATCGTCATTGGCGTCTCTTTCCACTTGGGGTCCGAGGCCTCTTCGGGACACTACAACACGGCCATTAAGGACGGTGACTCATGGTGGGTCTACGACGACGACAACATACCGGTGAAGTTCTCTATGCTCCCACTGGTGGCTCAGGAGAACTGCTGTCTACTTTGGTTGAACTGCACACCACATGGAGGTGCAGAGGAGGTCTCTGCCCTCTCGGACGAATCGCCCATCCTGACGGACCAGGAAAAGATCCAGAACATCATCCATGACCCGGCCATCAATGACGAATGGCACAGCAAATGGCTGCCAGGACTGGATTTGATGGACACGGATCTGCTGGTGGACCATCCTCGACTTTGCCACCGATTGGTGAAGAAGTGCATCACGTGTGGAAGCTGGCCTCGCGACCTGAACTCACACATGCAGGTGGCCCATCGCTCCTTGTGGGAAGACAGCAGCTCTCTGGCAGAACAAGGCGCAGTGAACTTCCTTTCCAAAGCTCACCCCACAAGATGGTGCGCTTGCCAACCGTTCCACAGCATTGGCATGAATGAAGACCATTGCTGTCCATGCCTGCGGCAGTTCGCAATGCTGCACCTGGCATTGAGATCCCATCAACGGGCAGAAGCAAAGGCTTCGACGTTGGCCCGGCTCCTCGACCAGAATTTTAGTTGAGGAAGGCCCTTCGGGGCGCAGGTGGGACCAAAAGGGTCCACGCATTCATCGACCGATGAGCGTATGAAAGAAAAGATGATGATGATGATGATGATGATGATGATGATGATGATGATGATGATGATGA